TTGTGAGTACCATTTTATACGTAGCTCGGCGGGCAGGTGAGTCTTTAAATTTACAGCATAACAGACAGCGATGATTTGACAATTTAACAATTAACACCTACTTAGAATATTCTCTATCAGAATCACAATGAGAAAATATTCCATTTGCAAATGTATACTACTGGTGGCATGAATTCTACACGTGTACTTTCATTTTTTCAAAACGTAATATCAGGTCCTAAAAGGATTTGTATCCGAATCTGAAAATAAATGTTGGAAACGTAGCCCTTAAAACGTAATTTTTTTTTATATGTACATATAAGGTTTTCTGTTATATTGCCTGTTGAAAATATTCACGTAGTAAATTGTATTGAAGATTTGAATGCCCGTTTTTAGTAAATGGTTTCAAGTTGGTCAACAGACAAATCAAAAAATAAAACGGCAAAAAATTCACAAATGCAAGGTGTCAGAAACAGATCTACAATCCTCTGCTTTCAGGTGATACCTTGAATCTACAGTATATCCCGCAATATTATCTGGTTTTTACTATTTTTCCTAAAAATATTTTCTTATTTTTTTTGGTAATGAAACACTCAAATATATTATCTTAATATAGACCAAATCCTAACGATCGCGTATTTACTGTAAAGCACTGCCTTTCCGGGGACTATATACTGTATATATATTTAAATGGCCTACATTTCCCAATCATCCAATTCTTTTACAAAGTTTATGAAAGGCATCCCTTAAACCCCCAAAAAACAAAACAAAAAAAAAGGTACTGTACGTAAGGAGAATCTTACCTACAAGCCATTTTTTATCCTCAAATGAAGTGTGTCCCGATCTTTTGTGTGGGAGATGATCACCGGAGCCCGGTGTAAGGGCAAGGGTAGGGCCTGACCAGGACAGGGACCACTAACCAGGCGTATCCGCAGAAGACTGATGCTACTGTGAATGACAGAAAATTGCGAGTTCAATTGTATTTTTATGTTTAAGCATATAGTGTGATCTGCTCACGAACACACCAGCAAATCCACAAAACTGAGATTGGAATGTTATGGAAAGCTTTTCGGATGCCGTGCTTAAAATAAAACTAGGTTTACAGTACATTCTAAAAAGGTAAATCAATATATATTTAAGCGTTAGTTATTTCACCTTATGATATTATTGCTATATATATATTTTACTATTGTGATAATTGAATTAGATAAGTGTGAAACCTACGAATGACAGGATTTTGGGAAGGATGCTGTGGGGGCTGTAGTTTTAGAAGATCTTGTTAACGAACTGCACACGTCGAAGTGTGTTGAGCGTCGCACAATGCTTTCGGTTCAATTCTTCTTCTTCTTCCCAATTTCAGGTTCCTTCGTAGGAATTGACTCTAAAATGAAGTTATGGGATGTTTTGGCCACGTGTTTGTTGCTGCTGAATGCCGTTTCCACGAGTCCACTCTTCAGAAGCAGACGAGAAGGGAAAAGGTCGGAATTTCTGGAACAGCTACGCGAAGTTCCTTCGTTGCTGCTGGACGGATCTGAATCTGTATCTGTCAGCTTAGAATCGTCCCCTGAAGACGAGTGTAAGTGACTCTGTTCTTTGCTATTAACACGAAAACATGATAAAAATGATATCATTCGATCATTTCCGTCGAAATTCTCAGCTTTATCAGAAACCCAGAGATGTCTAATTACACCCTAAATGCCAAGAACTCTTCTGTGCAATGCTAACAGATAAACTAGTGCTTCTGCACACTGTTTAAATGCACCATACAATAAATAACCCTTTCCATTTGCTCTTATATTGTCGTTATTTAGATGTATTTTTCAAATGAAACAAATTAATGTCTAACTATTTCTCAGGCTGAGGTTTTGGTCTGCGACATGCAAACTTTGCTTGGATTTGTGTTCCAGTAAGCTATTGATAGAGGTTGATGGCAAAATGTTGCATTTCTGTGAGACATGCTGTTCTTAATCTTCATAGACTACTTAGGTGGCTTTAAAATTAATGTCATCCCATGCTGTTACAATATAATTAATTAAACATAATTATGCACACTTTACCCTACAGTGTTTAACATTCAGTTTGCATTTAGTCACATTAATGACAATGTTTATCTTCAGACAAAAGAGCAATACCTTTAATGCCTTATGAAGTCAGGCTGTAACAGGATAAGATAAACTTACAGTACAGGAAGCAACTTTTCTAAAAATAGTTAAATTTGACTAAAACTAAAAGTAAATGAAATGTGCATTGAACCAAACAAACCACAGTATAAAGGATTATATGGATTCAAACCTAAAGTATTATCATAAAGCTTCTGTAATTTACAGAATGTTAGTTTTAGCCCTGGTTTATTCAAGGACGGAGCATGGTTCATGGGGAGAGGATTAGTGATGATCACCAAAGTGTGATTTAGAGAAGCAATGTCACAATGGTAGCAGGAGAGCTATCAGAGTACGATAAAAAGAAAAAAGATTAGACAAAAGAGAAAAGATACATTTTCCCATCACATGCTTTCCTAGACCTTCTAAAATGCATAGAATTTTATTAAATGTTACAAGTGATCTTTAAGTACTAGTTTTCCATGAAAACTGTGTTATAGTCCCCGTGAGTACATGTACTGTATGCTGAACAACAGTTTTTGCAGCTCATAAAATGGCAAATGACAGTACCTCAGCTCACCAACAATCATTCACTCTGCAAAGTACTAGGCTCTAGACAGGAGACTGTTTGCAAGTTTTGAAAGTGATAAACGTTTGTGAAAAAAACATTATTGAATGATATCATACAATCACAACACAGTTTTTTTAAGGTCTTATGAATATAAAACTTTTTATGTGAGAGCCAAAATTCAGCTTACACAGACTTTTATATTGCCTCGGGCTGTTTTCCTTTCAGTGATTTCATTATTTATCACCTCCTTAACAAGGATTATACCAACTGCACCTTTAAAAAACAAGGAACAAAGTATTGATTGCTTAGAATCACACATTTTAACAGTTTAACATCTCCATTTACAAGGGCAGCGAGGAGGAGGAAAAGTGGTATTTGCTCATTCGGATTAGGTTACCACAGTTTATTTAAGAAAAGTTGTGGTATTTTTGCTTTTGACAGGATATATTTTTAATCCAATTGGATGTTACTGTGTGTTGATGTGACAGAGCTGAAAACAGCCAAAACCTTTTCAGGTCACATACTGACAGAGGACACAGCTTTCAAATCCAGCTATCAAATCTGTGCCAGTAGAAAACAGCAGCCAACCACCAAGCCAGACTGACTGGCTATCAACACTTTCATGCTTGGAGTCTTTGTGGTGTCAGTCTTTCTACATTGGAATGACTTTCGTACTGTCTTCATTTCTTAGAATATTCCAATTAAACAAAAGAAGGCAATAAAGAGCAAATCAGACATTTAAATTCAAGATATTGCTCAAAATAAATTATTTAAAAGGCACACGTTTTGTTCTGCTCATATAAGCTGACTGTGAACACTAGCCTCATTTGTAGCTCTTCGCTAACAGACAACTCCAGTCGAAAAAATGATTTTATAATAACAGAGTTCATGTATAGAATTAGGGTTGACAGGCATACATATTTGAACCTTTTTATATGTTTTTTACATCAAAATAAGCATCTTTTCAGAAATCAGGTTTGTGATTATGCTCATTAAAAATCCTGTTTGCTGAAGCAGTGCGTGGGTCTTCAGAGAAGAAACGTCATCGCCAGGCATTTTTGAGGGTCTAGTGTTACCAAGAATGAAATGTTTAAATTTTTCATCTGTGGAGATCCGAAATGAAACGGAGTGTATCACCTTGGTCTGTGAACGTCCGTACAAAGCAAAGAGATCTATGCAGAGCATGTAGGATTCGGGCACTTGTGGGCTTGGGCTCATCGTGTCTGGTTGGGTGCAGCAAGCATAGAGATTGTGGCTCGGTGAAGTCAATGCAATTTTGATTCCTCCTTGAATTTATATCCGGGGTCCAACACGTTTATATTGAGTTATATCATATTGGGCAGAGCGGTGTCTCTGTGGCTAAGGAGCTGCGCCTGTGGCTGGAAGGTTGCTGGTTTAAATTCCTCTTGCCGGCAGAGGAATCCTACTCCGTTGGGCCCCTGAGCAAGGCCCTTAACCCCAGCTGCTCCAGGAGTGCGGTATAAATGTCTGACCCTGCGCTCTGACCCCCAGCTTCTCTCCCTGTCTGTGTGTCTCATGGAGAGCAAGTTGGGGTATGTGAAAAAGACAAATTCCTAATACAAGAAATTGTATATTGCCAATAAAGTGATCTTATATTTGAGTTAAAAGGCAGAGTATGATGGGAGGCTGTATTTTGTTCCTTGGGCGGTCTATGACTAATCGATGCTGGGCTCCATTTTACACCCGAGAAATGTGAGCATTTCCCAGCACCTGCCTTCTCGCTCTGAAAGACATCTACGGGTCTGGTTTGTATAATGTGTGGGCTGGAGCTGTGGCGTCTGGAACAATAACACAGCTCTGTGGCGGAGGCTCACTTTCTTCAGAGCGGGCACCATCGCAAAACAGCACCGGGTTTTGGACAAAAACTCTGAAGTTCATTACCAAGTACTGAGACCTGAATGCTTGTCTGGTCCAGAAAGGCAGTGTTGTCTTTAGAATCAAGAGAAAGCTTCAATAGAATCGGCGTAAGTAAGGCAATGTTGCAAAGCGAAAAAGAGTATGCTTGCCAGGCTACGGCAAAAAGATTTGAAACAGATGACAAAAACCTCTATGTTACTGGGAAATCGTAATTCAAGGAGAATGCACCCAAACAATGTGTGTAGTTTTTTTTTTTACATAGCTGCAAAGGTAAAGAATTTAAATTGTCACAGATCTCCATACATGCCCACATGTTTTTGGTGAACTTTGTTCTCTAAATTTGAGATTGTTAGCTATTCAGTGGGCACTTTAATTATTGTCCATGGCTGACTAAGTGTAAAGAATTCCATATTGAGACTGAATGAATAAGCTGTTCAGTTGGGATACATGTAAACAACACTATAACTCATTTGTGGTAGTTTTCCACAGAAGAAGTGTAGTTTTATATAAAAGGGTACTAAAATGGCAATTTTTAAATTTTTTTTGCCACTTTTGTTATAAGGAGATAGAAAGGTAGGAAAAAGTAACCAAGAAAAGAAAGGAAAGATACCGGTTATATGTTTTAAGCACATTAGAGATAATATCACAGTTCCCGTTGATGGGGTGTAATTATAGCTTTCACTGAGAAAAGCGTGCCGTAGAATAATTTATGCTCACTTTTGGGAGAAAATAATGTACATCAAATAAGATCCTGCTACAGAACATATTACTTAATGCACTGAGTATCCCTGGCATACTGTAGGACAGTGAATAACAGTACATACAGTATACACAGCATTGGTCCTCATAAGAAACACACTGTATGTACTCAAGCCCTTAATTTTCGAATGAGCGCCCCACACTCTGATCCAACATTGCGGAAGCCAGCATGGCTCTTTAGCTCCTTCAGAGGCCCAGTGCGGCTGAACAATGTAACAGTAGATGACAGGGAATGAGGCCGCCCTCCACCTGGTCAGCGCCAGGCCGCTCGGGGGAAACGTGCACTAAAAAACTAGGGTGCAGAGAGGCAGCAGCCAGCATCAAACACCCAGTGCAGGTTCAGCTAACAGCCTCCGACAACTCAAGCATTACCTGTAGTCCAATCCATCGGTGCTCTAGCAGACCCATGGTCCTTTGCAAAGGACAAACGTTAGCAAGCAAAGTGGTCCAGCTCAAGAGTCACACACTGGAGACAACAATATACAGTATATTCTACACAATGCCAAGCACAAAATGTAGAAGACACAAACACTGCTTGATCTGGAATAGGTTTGGCCCTGCATGTCATTTTGCATTCTTATTATTGTGTGGGCTGTGCATTCAAACGTAATGCAGTTTGTAATTGCCTATGACTGCATTATGATTTTGAGGTTAGAATATGGAACATTTGTGCATGACTGAATGAGGGCATGCTGTTATAAAGATGTGCTCTCATCAATATACATATTGATGTATTTTCTTAAATCAATCACTTATGTTTCAACGAACCTCAAAACAGAGGGGCACGACTTTTGACTTAATGTTGAATGGGTCAGATTGACTAAATAAAGCTGGCATTTATAAACAGATCACCCTTTTCTTAACCTGATGCATGAATGATGGTATTGTGTTGTGTGGATCGAAAACTGGAATGCAGACAGGAAGCTGGGTGACACTAGCAGAAGACTCAGCTTCTGACAGAGCTGCAAGCCCGACAATAACTACAATGCTTTGCCTTTCTTTGCTGACAAGAACCAAAGAAAACTGTGTATATCGGTCATTTGAAAGACGCAAAAAGAAAGAAAAAGGCTTTGATGTGCAGTTCCATCCAGGCTCTTGTCTGACAGATTTCTTTGTGGTCTGCTTTTTTTGCTCGCGGCTCTTTTTTTTTTTAGGAAGAGCACAAAAGCGTGCTGCAATTTCTGCTCCAGCTAACCCATGAGGCGTCAAGCATCACATATTCCACATGCTTCTGGAATTGTAAAACACTACATGGGCGCAGGAAAACCCCACAATGGCCTATTTAGAAGTGGCTGCTGGCAGCAGAACTAGCTGGCTTCCCAACACTGCCTCAAGCCTCATCCTAAATAACTCGAGAGTGTTTGTACTGACAGCAAGACCAGACTCGCAACCCACCACTCCCTATCATGCACCTCAGTGCGTCTGCCTTCACACAGGCCACTCACATCCTGCCTGTTTCCCTCCTCGGATCACAAAGGTGGAGAATTGTGACGGCAGCTGGAAATATAAAGACATCATTGAGAAGAACGCCATCTTAAAAGTTGTATGATCTGCTGCAGGAGGTGCATTCCGGTCTGTTCTGTTGGCTCATGCCTTTAACAATCTCCTCTCGTCCTTGGATGCTTTGGAACATTTAGGGCCTGAATCTGAAGGAAGCTGGGGAATTTTGGAATATCGGAAAGGAAACGTCCATTTTTTGAATCATCTAAATTTAAAAAAACAAGTGCGGAAAGAGGTTAAGGAAGCTTTTCAGACCAGCAGAGCACTTTTTAAGGAGGTCTTCCCAGAATGCCTCATCTCATGGGAGCTAGGATTTCCCTTATTATCCTGGCTTCCCTGATGTCACTCTAAAGGATCTTTGTCTCATTGGCCTTCATGATATTCAGCAGGTCAACGTCAAAGCCAGCTCACTGCCCTATACTGTTGCTGACAAAATCCACGAGCATAGAGTGATCAGTCCTTCACCGTGCAGTTTTATGAGTTGAGTCAGGTTCACAAAATTTCAGGGGGTGCCAAACATATCCCGGATTGATGTGGCTCTGCATAGATAGTGAAAAACTAAAGCAGGAGGAGAACGGCATTCTGTTTAGACTGCAGGTTAGGGAACTTGGAGTCTCTTGTACAAAAAGTTCCAAGTACCTGCAGTTAAAAAAATAATGTTGTCAATGTAGTTAGTTATGCAGGTTGTGGTAATACTCTACCTGACTCCTACACAGTCTTTTTGTGAATGGACAATCTACACAGTATATGTGGGGGCTGCCAAGATATCTTCTCCAATCTTCAACTTCTTTTTGAAGGGAAAAGGAGCATTCTTGGAAGTCAGAGGAGAATGGTGTACTTATTGGCTTGCTGGGTGTATCTTCCTTGATGGGAAAAAAAGGTATATAGGAAGAAAACCTTTTTTGTTTCAATGTGATTGGCATTCAGGGGTAAAAAAAAAGAGGAAATTAATTTTGCTAAGATTGACAATGACCATTTCCTCCTACTAACAGCCAAATAAAACTTAAGTCTGGATAAAGGAAAATGTAATCTTGTTTGAACAGAAAACTCTTAAGTTAGCTGTCTTTTTTACTATTGTGTATGGATTTTCTAGTGAGTGAGCAACTGTCATTATGTGTTTTTACCGTTGTTGTAAAATATGCTAATATTCCATCATCCAAGTGCTGATCTCTGTGTGAGGCTTGTACTTCCTATACTTTGCAAGCTTGGTCTTCCAAGGGTTGTATAGGGTTAAAAATCAACACATTCAGCAGATACATGACTCAGCATTTTCATCCATGGGACTCCATATTCAACAGCTAAATGACTCACCATTTTCATCCTCATGATTCCACATTCAGTAGCAAAATGAGTCAGTGTTTTCAGCCTCAGAACCCCACATTGCATAGCCAAATGAGTCAGCATTTTCAGCCCAGGGACTCCTCATTACAAATCACAGGGCAACCGAACTGTGTGCGTCTGACACAGCAGAAGAACCCTGGTGTGACCAGGAATCTGCTTTTCCAGTCTTGTCATTTTCTATCACGAAAACAGATAACTAATTCACAGGCAACGTCACAGGAATTCGCAGTGCTCCTCTTATAAAAAACAGATGGTCCATGTAGACCAACAGCACACAGCCCAAGGACAGTCTGCCTCGAGTTTTAAAAATAATCTCAGTCAAATATTTGAGACAATTCAAAACAGAGCCAGCTAACACCGGCTCTGGAGTGCTTGAACCTAGTAGTTTTCAGATTATTTATTTGCATAGATGCCTCCATGGAGTTACAATGTCTATAAAACATACATTATGACTAACCTTCTTCAGTTACAAGAAGGTCAAAAGGATACATTTATAAAATAGCCCTAAAGTTAGCACAACCTAGAAATTCCACACAGATCAAAAGTCGACCTTAACTCATTAGTTAGTAAAGACATATGCGTTTTGACCAGCTCTGGAAGTCGTGTCTAATTTGCTCCCCTAGAACTGGGGGCTTTTGCAAGTCTCAGTTTTTACTCACTGACAATACATAAAAAAAGCTTTAAATGAGCCATTACTAGCATTTTCATTTTTTAAATTTTAGACATATGAACCTTATAAAGTCCGGATGTTTTCAGAATCAGAACTGTATGGGTGCATACCAACTAGAGGTCCGGTAGTGAAAATATTGCACATGTTCCATTTTATATTCTACTGACAAACAGCATTTTACATTACAGAGTTTATAAAACAAATTCCTTGCTAAATTGATCAGAGAATTGATATTACTGTATAAACTGATAATTATGCATGTGTTACAAACACGGTGCTGGAATGTCACTCTCCGAGACTGGGGTCATCTACATTGAATTTAAGGAATAAAAATTGCTTTTTTCTTGAGTTATCCTCTAAAAAGAAAAGTGACAGAAATGGTACCCAACCAAACAAAAGGTTAATGGTGTTATACTGTGACATAACCTATTCAAAGAACATTTTAATCTGTGTTTTCAACATTTAAATTGCATGGTGTGGGATTCACAAGCACTGACTAGCATCTAACCTGCAACATGGATAAAAGCTTTCAGATTTGAGAAGCTATCCTAGCATCTTTGTGAAGGATTTGCAATGTTAAGCTTGATGCAAAAGGGAAACGGTCATGGTGGCTGTCCTGTGTGAGCAGACTGTGACTGAAGGCATCACACAGGGGCAGCACTTGGGTTGTAGAACAACAAATCATGGTTATTTCTTGCTTACTCAGCTGGAGACAAGGCTAGCACAAACATCATGAAGATACTGCATGTAGACGTGCTGTACCTCTTGAAACATTCACATGTTCAGAGATTTGAATTTTTATAGCTGAATGCAGATTGATCCTTAACTTGATCAATGATCCGGTACAGTATGTAAAGGCTTTTGGTACTTGAAATGCCATCTCCACATTTACATTAGCATTCATCTTAGAACTCCATACAAAAAACCTGTTTGAACCTTTTGTTCTGTATCTCAGCAAGACAACGTTCAGTCTCGAATGCTGCCTATTGAGGAACATTTACTATTATCTGGTGTTGCTGAGGCTTTTTTGATGACCTTCCCAGAGGTGACCTTCACCTACCTTGTCTCAAACACGTTTCTTTCCCGATGCAGACGACATGCCGGAGCTGAATCCAGAGCAGTTCGAGGATGTTGCGGATTTTATCCAAGCGGCGTTAAAGAGACTGAAAAGGTCCTCGGGTGGGGAAGTCCCCTCTGGGAGCAAGAGGGACCGGAGTCAGCGGAGGGCCTTGGCGAACGCAGACGGCTCCAGGAAGAAATCCGGCGGCAGGAGTAGAAGCCGGGGCTGCGTGCTGAAGGAGATCCACTTAAACGTCACAGACCTGGACTTGGGCTACCACACCAAAGAGGAGCTCATTTTCAGGTACTGCAGCGGGTCCTGCAACGCCCCAGAGACCACGTACGACTTGATACTGAAAAACCTCACGAAGAACAAAAAGCTGGGCAAGGAGAGAGTGAAGCCGCAGGCCTGCTGCCGGCCCACAGCCTTCGACGACAACCTGTCGTTTTTAGACGACAGCCTGGTCTACCACACGCTCACAAAACATTCCGCCAAGAAATGCGGCTGCGTCTGACCTCGGCTCGAAGCCGAAAGGAAGGACGCGGCGCATTCCTGCAGGGTTGAAACAAGGAACCAAGGGGCCGCAGGTGACTTCTGGAGCCAGGCTGGAAACAGGACCAAGGTTTGGAATCAGGGAAGCTCTGGGGAGTGGATGGAAGGTGGAAAATGAAAACAAATTAAGCTTAGCATCTAGACAGCCAGAGGTGCAATGACAATTTCCTTGTGGAGGTCACAGGGGAAACTGGGTACACAACTCCTCTTTACAGCCTCTTTTTCCAAATTTGCCTCAACCATCCCTGGCCTAAAGGGGCTCTATTCTAGTTCCCTGCTGCCCGATTCTGTGCTCATAAGCATAGCCTAAATGCATCAGAGGAAAATGGGCCCACATTTCAGATAAGAAGTGTTTTACATTCCCGATCAAGTGCAGTTAAAAATAACACCAAAAATAACCAAGTACTTGTTTAGAAACAGAAGACAAAACACCTAGATTTATCCCTTTGATAGATTATATATCTTATACGAGTTTTAAAACTGGTTCCAGTGTTACAGATAAATGATGTCTTGTCCAGACCCTGATTTTTTTTTTGATCATGCAGTCAGATGGTGTGTTATTTACAACCCCATAGAAAAAGAACAGACAGACTGGACGACAGTAGAAACTACACAATTAAGAAAAATGCTGTTACAAGCCAGGTCTCCCCTCATTCCTGTTATGTTTGTTTACCTGGCTGGATGTACTGTATAATCAGTACCTTCTTTTTTTCAGTGCACATCACAGGAGGGAATGGCGATTAAAAGGATGCATTTCTTGCAGTCTAGGTCCAGATACTGAAGGTATCAAGTGTGGAAATGAAGGAAAGCTGTGTGTATGAGCCATGTATTGGTTAGCTCAGACCTGGCTATGCTGCTCAGAATGGATTTTAAAAGTTTACATAAAAGACTGCTCTTTCTCCGACAGAACATTTGACTCGCACCAAGGCTGGTCACTGCGGCCGAGAATAAAGTACCTGATGCAATGCATCTATCAGATTCTTAGATACTGTATATTAAAAAAGACAATATTTATTGAGATTTAATTAACTTATTGTTATTTATTGCAGTCTGTTTGATGAAATATGTTCTTTTTTTCTTATTTATTAAAGCTTTTCTTGAAAGGTGCCAAAGTTGAACTTGCTCATAAATATAACAGAAAAAAAAACGTTTGTATGATGCTGGAAACAGCGCAGTTGAAATTGAAATAACTACAAAGCCAACAAATCGCTAACTTTACCTTTTTGGCCAACACAATGTGCAAATGTTAGAGATAATTGTGACTAGAGGAGTCTTTGCTTTGAACAGCTTACTGGACACATTTTATTCATATCTTATCTATTAAATTGTTCTATACACCACATGGGAAAATCAAGGCACAGACTATTTGTTATCCTCAAATCACACCCAAAAACGAACATATGGATATGCCACATTTTCAGAAAAAAAAAACAAAACAACAAAACACTACTGAGGATAAGCACAACCTGCTATGATCAGACTTGTGGAAAAAATTAAGGTTAAATGTATTGAACAAAATCTGTTTATCTGTTTGCAAGTACAGTAAAACCTCAAGACTGAACCTTACACCTGTATCTACACCATGTTATTGTTAAAAATTAAAACCCAAGTTGCGGTTGTGACTTTGAATTCTGCTGGTAGCCTGATATCCCAGACAGCCCGAACTTAACTTGTACTGTGACAACACACGTCTTCATTACAAATTCTTACTCCTATGGCTTTTAACAAATCACAGCGGCATACTTGTTCCGTACAGCATAAGAACAAAATAATTCTGATTTGTCTTGGAGGGGAAGTCACAAAAGAATCAGTTTTATAATAACCCCACTATTTTAAAACATAAATTTAAAATTTAAAACAAGTTTTGCGCGCCGGCTACCTTGAAAAGATCAAACATACAGGAAGACTTTCTCACAGATAGTTGGAAACACCTTTGAACACAAATTAACCCATTTCCTGTCTGTTTAGTCTCTGTGTCTCGTGTGTTTGGTACAAAGCTACTCTCGTGGGCGTCACTGGCATGTGCTGTCCTACCCCAAAGCAGCTATTACTGCCTCTGTACTGCGCTGCTGTGATCCTCTTTGTTTTAGCGCTACAGTGCTCACCACGTGTGAAGTTCTTGTGTTTCTACACAAATAGAAAAACAAAAAGGTAAAGTTGTGATTTCTGACTCAACAGCAGAGAAACAAGAAGTTGTGTTTCCCACAAGAATTGTTGTATATCACCTACCGTGAAACTAATGTCTCACTCAATTGTGTTACTGAACCAAAGTTCTCTACAGACTTTATTTTTGTACTATATTCATTTTATAACTTTTTATGAAATTAAACTTGTTTCTATCACTTTGAACGGGTGTTTTTTTATAACCTTTGCACAACATTTTCATTAGTCAAAGCAGGAATGTAAAATTTCATTACCAAAAGTAGAAGAAATGTTACTTTTTTCCTAATTTCTTGCTACTTTGTGCAAAGCAGGACCCTCATTCCAGACACAATGTTCTTTCTCACATGTGTCTTATTGTGGGGTATGCAAATACATCTTATGTTATTCCGTTTTAAAAACCGAACCCCTGTGGTTGCTTCCTATTCTCTTCAAGAGTGAATTGTGTATTACAGTTCTAGTGTTGTACTTTGGATACAGCAAAAAAGAAGCTCCTCTTCAGTATATTAAGAAATGCGCAAGCACATTTTTACCCCAAGGGGCATCTCTGAGAAACTCTCGGACTAAACCAGCTTGTTTTCGTACGTGACAGTAGCACAATGCTGCAAGTTGCAGCTGTGCAGATCTGTGTGTGTTGAGTTGATTCCATGGCTACAGTTACAGTGAGCACAGTCAGGCAATGGGAACTCGCTCAAGGGCTTCTTTAAAATGAGGTGATGTAAAGGCTGGTTTGTTTATTCATCATATAAGGCAAGCACTCCCTCATTCATCTGAAATTCTTCTGCTGCACACCAAGCAAATTATTTCACAAAACCTATGTGGGTAGCAACTAGCTGCATGACAAACATTGTCCAGCCTCCATGGAAGACACTCAGAAGATGAAACCTTACAAGCAGGAGTCTCGGGATGGTCCTCTTGTGAGTGCCTTGAAAAACAGAACATGCCAAATAAGGTTAGTCTGTGTTCCCATTAACTTGCAATGTTATGTTCTTCTGATACCAGCGCCACTGAGACCATGCTAGTGCCAAGAGGACTCATGACAATGTAGACATACATGCTCAATGCTCTTGTATACAAATAACAGGGAAAGATGGAAGTTTTGATATGCACATGGCATTCACAGAAATGTTTATACTGCGTGCCTGACTTGCATACACAACTACAGAGGGAAAGCAGGTGCAATGAGCTGAGATCCTCCTTATAAAATGCTGCCCTGCAGCACATGTGGTTTATATGATGAAGGCCCTCTTTGCACCTTTGGTTTTTTAAATGATATTTCAGCTCCTGCTATATAACTTGGGATTTATAAATACATGGAACTGTTTAGGAGGGATTCTGACTTAGAGGCGTTAAAATTCATTTTTTTGCCTTGTGTGGCCTTAAGAACCTTGATTCATATTCATAACATGAATTTGTAACAAACAGAGAACTGAACCCAAAATGGGAGCTTAGGTTCTTTGTTATACTAGGTAGAGAGCAGCAGCCCTAAAGTCGGAGCAGAAATCCTGATAGTGATCACCAATTTAACGGACACACTCTGAGAAACCACAGATGTGCAGCACAGGCTTAGTTATAAAAACGTTCAACATGGAACAAGATCACATCTGAGTGAAACCCCCAGCATTCAAACACAGACTTTTCCACCAATGCCACAATGTTCTGGCTAAGTGTGTCTTAAAAGACCTGCGAACAAATAAGGGATTATTTTTTTGGACAGACACAGAGAAGGTGAATTAGAACAGCACACAGCCATACATATGCTTAATGACCTCCTATCCTAAATACTTGGACAGAGTCCCAGGATTCAGTAAACAATGGCAAGTTGAAAAGTGACACCCAGTTGTAAATCTGGGCACTTAGGTTAAATATTTCCACCAGTGAAAAGCAATACTGACATATTCTAGGATTATAGTAGCATATACACACCACAATCATAGCCATTTAGATCGTTTTAAATTCGCCTCAATGAAGGTAAAATCTGTATATCACCTTCAATTCTTCAGTTATTATGACCTTAAGTTATGTTAAGTGCTCTAACTCAACTACGTGTGATAAGAATCAAAACCTAAAAAAGAAAATTCAATAAAACAATTAAGAAAACAAGTCTTTGAAATAGTGTGATTGTTTGGATGAGATGCTTCTCTAAAAAAATGACAAAGATTGAACTCGTCCTGTGTGTGTCCAGACTGAAGCACTGCAGCACAAACAGGGTGGACTCAAACTGAACCTCTGAGTAAGGGACCCTTCTGTTTACACGGCTCTGCGGGTTATCACTGTACACGAGACTTAATTCTCAATTGACTTACCTGGTTAATAAAGGAATTAACAGCAGGCAAACTCATCCCTCTCTGGTGTGATTTGAGATTCCTGGTGCTTGCAAGAAAGCATTAGTCTGGCTTGCATCATCTATTCATCCATCCATCTTCTAAACAACTCATCCAATTCAGGGTCATAAGGGAGCCAGAGCCTATTCTGAAAAGCAACGGGTGCAAGACAGAATAAACCCTGGACTGAACACCTGTCCACCGAGGGCAGACAGACGCAGACACACACAGTCACCCCAGGGGACAGTTTTCCCAGAATCCCCTTAACCGCTGTGCCACTGAGCCGCTCTGGCTTGCATCAATGTTGTAATGTAGAGATAGCATCACTCATGGAAAAGACTACATAAGAACATTAATTACCAGGGAACCATAATCCTAATTTTGGTTCTGTAATTAACAAAGTTAAACAGAGCTATATGAGCAAGCACTAATTTGTGTTGCTGAAGTTCTCCATGCATGATTACAATGATGTGAATATTCTGATGTTCAACAGAAGGTTTTTATTTGTATATACATTGTATACAGATTTTCCCCACCTAAGATTGCAAGAACTGTCTTTGTGCATGATCTTCTCAAAGTGATGGCCCTGCAGTGATTAAGGCCTCTGATGGTGATGAACATTGAACTGACATATCCAGAAAGACCACCCAGCCTTCCAACTCTGCCGAGTCTCTGACACTGCGAGCTTTCCTGCATGTTCCCCAATCCCAAATTAATTTCCCTCTGGCATGTGTCAGCCCTCGTGTGAGATGAGGGTGCTCGTAACCACTGCTCAACCCAGACCTGCCGGACCATCTTCACTTGCCCCACGCTCGCTTCGTCTCAATGCCTTTTCAGGAAAGAGGAACCCAAAACCCCCAGAGCAAACCCTTTATTGCATTTCAGACCAGCGAGGCACTGCATCAGTAATAAAAATTCACATTCATATCCACAGGATCCAAGCACATAATCTAGTCTTCCTGGTTTCCTTACATCAAGATACTGCCGCTTGGGCGTCAGTCCACAGAAGAGCAACCAGATACCATCCAGGTCCTAAAGAAATGTCCTACACTGCCAGGCTGAAGGAACTGGACCTTTTTAGTCTTGAACAGAGAAGACAGCGATAGGATACCTGATATCAATATTTAAAAACCTCAAGTGGTCTTCTTCAGAATGAACAATGAAACAAAATGTAGAGGCTATAGGTGGTAACTCAGTTAAAACTAAGAACAGGAGGCGGTTCTTTATGCAAAGCGTTGTGGGAGTATGGAACAAGCTACTCACCTATGCTGTTGAAGTAAGTGCCCTGGCTTTCTTCAAGAAATACCTGGATCAGATCCCGGGATCAATTAACTGCTAATTACCCAAGGGGTTAGAGAGGCTGCATGGCCTCGTTTGTAACCGTTCTTATGACAACACAATTGAAAATGCAATAACCTGCAATCAGGAAATGAAGAGTCATGCACAGTCTTGCACACGCACACCACAATAGGAGAAGTAATTAATACTTAGTATTTATATATGTGGCTTTACCAAAGGGTAATAACATTGGCATGAATTAAGCGGTTTGCATTGAAAAGGCTCTGTAAACCTTCCATTCCTTCACTGAAATAAAACATTGTCATGTGAGGGCACCTGTAGCTTTAAAAGAAAAGAGGATGTACAGTTATCTATACAGTAACTATTAAATTTTCTCACTGTCAAATATGTTCAATGCGCCTTGTGGCTTTGTGAATACACCATGATGCCATTGAGCTTCAGAGTAGCTCTGTTCATTTGAGAACAAGAAGTTCAGTGACCTGACTGGGAGATGGGCATTGTAGAGCTTGACCTCCGACAGTTGTACTATTGACATATAGGGTTTTCATCCAGGACCCCTGCCAAACCACAGAGTGCTAATTACCCAGTTAAAGAGGGGCAGTGACTCCAGTGGGCATTTGTGGGGTGTGACATCATTATTCCAAACTGTCAGCACTGTAACGGACACTGTGTATAGTGACATCACAGGCTAATAATAGCAGCTGGGATTAAGGCGCAGCGGTGAACCTCCACTGCATTAAGATTTTATCTCAGCTTGGCTTCAATTGACAGTGGATTCTGGCTTTAAGGTTTCTTGTGCTTTTCAGTCACTGTTCTGCCAGGGAAAAAGTGAAGGGGGGAGGGGAGTAATTTTCCTAAGCTTTCCTTGAGAGATCTAGGACTTTGAATCTTTTCTTTTAATTGCTAAAACATAAACCATGCAGACTTGCGGTGAAGGGTTTTCAAATGAAAAGCACAGAGTCCTTCGATTTGCTGCAGCAAAATTCAGTAACATATTGCATCAATCCATCGCAGTTTGACAAGACTTGCTTGCTTAATTTCAAATACTTTCATCAGCACTGCAAAACAGACCTCTTTGCCACTGACTCGCAGTTTTGCATAAACAGCTTTGTGGTAACAGCTCCATGCTCCACATGCTCTTGTCGATTCGAGAGACAGCACTCCAACCTTTCAGCTGCGTAACTAACTGTTCCTAAGAGCTGGAATTTTGATTTCAAGTCTACCTCTGTTTGTCACCATGCACGTGGAGATTTACATTATTCAGTTTGTTTTTTTAAATCATGACCTAAATTTCATCCATCCATCTTCTAACTGCTTCATTCCATTTCAGGTCACAGGGGAGCCAGAAACTATCCCAGCAAGCAACAGCCCCAAAGTAAGATGCACCCTGGGTGGAATGCCTGTCTATCACAGGGCACACACAGACACACACTCACTCACACAAGGTCCAGTTTTCCAAGAAGCCAATTAATCTATCAGTACGTCTTTGGACTGTGGGAAGAAATCAGAGCACCTGGAGGAAATCCTCAAGAACACACAGAGCACAGAAACTCCATGCCGATAGCCTCTTTCTGAAAAACAGCAAAGGCCTCAGAAACCAATGAGTTATATTTAGCAGATTAACTGGACAAACCTCTCATGTGAGAAGGTTAACAGGCTACAGAGACCATCAGACGTGGAACATTTATTGTCTCAAATGAATCTGGAAAAAAACTCACGTCTGTGACACACTTGTCTCTAGTACACCAAAATGCACTGGCAACCTAAAAAATAGGTTAAACTGTTTCAGATTATAAACTGTTCCTGGGACTGCTGTCTGAGAGAAGTGAGTTTATTTTAGAAATCTGGTATTCTATATAAATTAATTCCTGTGACTCACCTACTGTAAGTATTTTCCTTATGACTAAGAGGCACCTAAAGAAACCTCCTCATTATTTCACCTTGAGGAGAAAGGGCTTCCACATTCTTTGAGTCACAGGACAGGAATCTCCTCTGACATCAGCAGTGTGTTGTTATTTCTGTTTTTAAAATGAAGACGGATTTTATTGCCCTTCTGAATGTGAACTAGATCTTATCGCTTGAACCACCCTGCTGCTCCAAAAGCAAATGGTTAGCTCTCTCTTCTGATCCAAAAGGCACTCATACTGCCAGGTGGCTACAATTACCAAATTTTAGATATTTACCCAATGAATCACCCAACTACTCACAGCGTTCAGGAAGCCCCTCAGATTGGCTACACGCTGCTTTGCCACTGTGATGAATTCAGCTGGAAGGTTTTCAGTGAATTATCCATCCTCACAAAGCCACTTCTGGTAAGGATCACAGCAACCCAGAGCCAGTGCCCTAAGCACAGGGCACAAGGAAGGAGTCAGCCCTTCACAAGATGCCAGTCCAACACAGGACATGGACAGGCAGATAATTCAGAGAAAACAGTAAACCTAGCAAGGCTCTTTGAGAGGTGGAAGGAAACCCTGGTAGTCAAGACTCCACAGCTGTGAGGCAGCAGTGCTTACAGCTCCACCATCATGCTACCCGCACAATTAATTGTATAGCACAAATATTTAATGCAACAAACTCACCGACTTACTTAGTGACTTGGTGCAATAATTAAAATAAATAGTGAGATAAAAAAGAATAGAATAAAAACAGCTTTGCATTTCTTCCTGGGTGCAATGGACACTTGTGTGTATATCCTTAGAACAGACCAATCCATTTTGTACAGTAGTTTTTACCCAAGGAATTCACAGTATTCACATTTTCTGTGATGGACAAGGTACTTTGCAAATAACTAAGATAATAGCTATGCAATGCAGGTGTGCTATTTCTTAAAAGAGGTAAATCTATACGCAGAGAAGCAGGGATGTGCACATTGTTTGCAGTTTGAGTGATTACTGCAGGAGCAGCTCTGAAAGGAGTACAGTTGAGAGTGAATACATGTTTATGTACTACAGATCACATACAGTTCTTGAAGAAACAAAATCCCACTTCAGCCTCTCTCACTATTAGGAATATTTTTTCTGAATGACTTTTGAGATTGTACTCGAGAGACGAGATCTAGAGCACTTTGACATACTGTATAACTGATGTTATGATGCTTTGCCCTCAAGATGCATTTTCAGCGCTTCCAGAAGCTGTAACAATTGACCTCTTCTATACTAGTGTAACTTAATAGAGATTCTCCTCTTTCTGTAGCCTGAGGCATGTTTTCAATTTCTAATTTTTTCACACCTGAGTGAATTATTTATGATACTTCATTTCCCTTTTTGTGATCTAAATGTTTTCCTATCTTCAAAACACATTATTCATTACTTCTCTGTTGCTGTTGTAATAGCGATAAAGTATATATTACATTTTAGCTTGCATTGCAAAATTCTTTTTTGGCACAACAAGGCTTCATAATATTTATTTTTACCTGTGCTTCATTACATTTTTTCTTCTTTAAACATTTCATAAGGTTTATACCATAACAATATATATGCAGTACACATACCCTGTGCAGGAGGCAGGTACAAAGACTGCAGTGGTTTGAAGCATTCTGAGTAAGAACACTAGTGGTGAATTCCTCAGGAAGCAGAAGCCTGTTTAATTGGTACATTAGACTGTTATTAACTGTATTAAGTGATATGAGGAAATGAAGATGGCACATCTCCTTGACAGTTGTTCTGCCTTAGCAAAGGGTTTCATTTTGCAGTTTTCTTCAAGCAAAAATAGGGGTCTCTAGAATGCAACTACATTGAATGGCAAGAAAGCTCCAAAATCTAATTTACTTCCGTTCCTTGAATGCAGGAGAACCAACAAAAACATTTTCAGCTGTCGATTTGGCAGCACTGCTTACACTATAGGACGTCTGGAGAATAATAAAACAATCTGTCTTGCTACAATTTCGACCTTTTAGTTCTGTACTGGAATGTAGACACTGAAGTAGCAGTACCAGCCCTTAAGTCAAAACCTAACAGGAAGACATTCCATGAACTTCTCATCAGCCAAACGCTTCACCCCACGGCTTCCCAATCTGCAACTTCTGGTTTTCATTCCAACCGAAGTATCAAGTTGGCAGCTTGTTTATCAATTCGACTTACCACTACAACCCATAGCGTACTGCACACACTGGCAGAAGTGGGGCCTGTGAATGCACTCACCCACATGCCTATCCTTTCAAACTGTGCCTCACAGGAGAGGTAGCTCCAACTGGGTTAATTAAGACCTTCACTGAAAATCAAAGTGAAGATGGGAAAAAAAACTGCTGTCATTTCTTTACTTTTTATTCTGCATATTATGCATCACCTCATTTTCACCCACCACATATATTTGCTGCTGAACAGACTGATCTGCCGAACAATCCTGAGGAACAGATTTGAATTACTGTTCTACTTCACATTCCATGGATCTGCAGAAGCCAGATTCTCTAAACATGAATCCAGAACTCAGATCCATAACCCAGGCTAAATAATACATTACCACATCCAGCACCTTACATCTTCCTCATTCCTTTTATACAGTATTCCATACATTTGGCAATTGCCTATGCAGCTATAGAGTCCTGGAGGAATGGTGCACATCTTCTGGATGGACTGCAGTTTGTGGTGTTCCACAAGCAAATCAACAATAAAATTCATTATATAACACCAAGGTGTGTCTGTCTGTGATATTACTCGCAAAGCAAATATGTTCGGCAGACTAATTTCATTGTGTCCTAACAAACCTGGTCAGAGGAGGACACCACATAGAATAGAAATACTTAGCAAAATAAAACACTTTCTATAAGCTACAAGCAGCAAATGATTACAATTGAAAAAACCCATATACTCTACATAAGAGAGAATGTGAATTTAAAAAATGGAACATGATTTACATAAGCAGGAGTAATTGACACTTCCTTTTGGATCACAGGCCTTTTAAGCAGAATGGGTTTGTAAATAAGTATTAAAAATAATTGTAATGAGCTTTTGCAAACAAGGTAATCTGAAATATGGACATACACATCTAGAAAAAATAACATTTGCCACATATACAATTAAGTCAATTCAGTATGCTATAAAAGTAGAGTTTTTCACCCTACTGTACAGTTTTTAATGAACATTAAACTTCAAACTGAAAGCTTTGGAAACTTTTAATCAATTTAAACTTCCCACTTTTAATAATGTTTTGATTTTTAATGGTTGACAGCTGAAAATGACAATCTGTATGTTGGCAGATAGCACTATTTTAACACATCTTGTTGGACACTTAAGTTATCACTGAAAGCACTAATCCCACCTCACAATTAAAATGGACAGTTTTTCACTCCACTGCTGCCACTAGCAGTGAGGCTCAGCCTCTCTTTTCATAATCCGCAATTCCAAAAACTGGAAAAGGGGTTACTCTGGGGGACCTTTTTAAAAAAACAAAAACAATTCTTAAAATAAAGGGTATTGGAACACACAGCCATTCATTAGATATGAAATTAATTCACAAATTTTAAAATACAAATCCTTTCTCCAAGGGAAAAATGACGTCCATGAAGCGGGAAGACTACAGCGGTATAACATCATGTGTATAAAAAGGAATGAAAGCCCACAGTTCAGATTTTGCGTTTTTTCCATTCGGGCTCCTTGTTGGCCTCCTCATCTTCTGACTCCACCTCAGCAAAGATCATCTCTGGCTGGGTCCTGATAAAAAGATTAAAGGTTTTCTTTATTGATAATTACAAAAGCAAACATCTATGCATGGTTACTCAGTGAGTCATGGGTGAAACTCATTTTGTTTCTGAACCAGTGAGGAATGCCCGTCTTGTTGGCTAGGCAGTCAGCACACTGGGAGACACTGGCGTACTGAGGGTGTCACCTGTGGACACACGACACCCTGACTCAGTGCTTCAGTGCTATTCTCTGACGAGAAAGGGTGACGTCAGGAAAAATGGTGATTCAGAAGAGGTAATAAGATACTTTAAAAAAAAACACACAAAATAGGCCATATTCTTAACTATCATACAGTCTGTTTTTTTCTACAAACTCAACACTTTTATGTCAGTATTGTCTATCATAACAAACGATAACAAAAAATGAAAGATATCAAATACGTTTAAAAATAAAAGTGAAACTCAAAGCAACAACTTCAAATATACATCTACACATTCACCCAACCACACCGAAAATTGTTCTTTACTCTCTTAAAGCATTTCAAGAGAACCAGGAAAAAGCACTGCATCAATTTCAAAATCTTTTTTTTCTTCCTGAAAAAAGCGATCTAGGCTGAATGGCTATATATTTAGTAATATGTTCATGCTGATCCTGACCACATACTGTATACTATACCACTCTCTGGTTTTGAGATTTGTGTCAGTTGGCTGGGGGGTTTCTATGCCTAAATGAGAGTGATAGGTAGTTAATTGATCTCAAAAAGCCTTCGGGACACCAGTCATCTATCACTGCAGACACTTTTGGAACAAACCATCACAAAATGCACTTAAGTGCAGGCCGACCTGACTTGCTCTGCCACCAGTGCTGGCTACCTGATCTACAGTCATTTAGTTATAAGTCAAACTTATAATTAAATAAGAAAAAAACATGCTTTTGAGAAACATACAGAAATCTGTCTGACAGTGGTATAAAGAAAATTTGAATGCCTTTTCTTATTTATTTTGCTCACGCGGACAGGTAACTGAATTAGATTCCAAATTAATCTTTCAGAACTGGCCAGTCTGGAAGCAGCCAAGAGATGACAGATGACCTGCTGTTAGGAAGAGCATCATGTAGCAGACAGTCAGAGGAGCTGGGTGACTGAAAGGTTATCTGCTCTCTCCTGGGCCTTCTTAGGAGCTCTCGTCAACAGTTCGTATGAGTGACAGTACCCTGTAACATCTACAACGCTCCTGCCATTTGCAAAGTGTCAGTGGAAGATGACAATTCCAATTTCAATAGGTTCATTTGGTTAACGAGTTCTGTCTCTGCCAAAGTCTTACAATGCCTACATTAGTACAGTACTAACGGTGTCATAAGAGTGCTGTGGTGACTTCAGTATTGGCGACCCCTGGTGGACGTCACGGTGTTGCAATTGTGCTAGAAGGCCAAGGAGGCAGATGGGGTGTCAGACCACACTGCTTTCATATGGCATGACTTGGAGACTGCAGACCCTTTTGTGGACGTGTGCTATGCCCCATGCTCTCAGCAGACATATATGTTACCTGGCCAGTCCAGACAGTATTGATTAGGATTAAGGAGTCCAGACCCACAGGTCTTTGGCTCACATTCCAGGTGGGACAATGCCGTTGTACCCTTGAGCAGGCACTTCACTCACGCTACTCCAGTACATTCCTTGCTGTACATAGACATCTCCAGGACACCACAGCAAATGAGAATTTGTTCTCAATTGACTTACCTGGTGAAACAAAGGAATATAAAACTGACCTCAGCTCTAGCCACAGCATGCAGGGCTATGCACCTACACAAAAGTCCCCGTTTTGGAGGGAGATTAATGACTAGAAGATCTTAGTTTAGAAGCATTTTTCAGTTTCACTCAAATTCTGTCATCATGCAGCTTACATTTACATTTAGCTTTACTTTCACATTCCATCCGGGTCTAAGCCTAAAGAGATTAACCCCACATTATGACTTACAGATTTTTTTGGGAACATTCAGTAGACGTCTAAACAGTTGAGTGATTTTTTTCCACAGAATACTGCAGAAATTTTAGGATGTTCTATGACCAAAAACCTCAAAGAAGATGGTGGAGTGAGTCTGCTTTTCTATATGGGCAGGTCAATATCAATTCAGCCACTGTCTCTCTGAGAGTTACAATTGTGTGATGAAAAAGCTGTATTTTGCAGTAGAGCCTTGAGCTTATTGAACCAAGCAGAGGTTATCAGGGTGTGAGCTGATCTCTTTCCACACTGACACATGAAGTGAAGCTTGGTTCACCCCCTTACACGCTAGCTGTGTGTGGTGCGCACTTGTATGCTTGTAAGGTTTGGCCAGAGCAAGTGTTTGTTCTGTCCAAAAATATTCAAATATTTACAGTCTGAAGTCTCAGATTAATGAATGCTTAGTCTATAAACAAAAACCCTATTTATACTTTCTGTGCACTGTGTTCCAGGCAGTTACTTGACTGCCATTTCACAACAGGCTCGAATACTCCACTGTATGTGAGGGGCAAACATTTTGGAAAGTTCTTATAAATTCTCAAGGATACTGCTTCCATCAAACAAACAGCATCTTCAACAAAAGAAGTGCTTATCCATGATCTCCTAATGACTGGAGAGCTGAAATGCCATTCTTTGGAAAGATCATGAAGGTCAGGAAGCTGTATATAAACCTCCCAAAGCGATAAGAGAAAGTCCAAATTAAGAACTGTGGTATTACTACTAAGCTTTATGATAGTTTTTAACATTTAGTTTATTCTTACCTTAAAGAAGAGTGGGTCAAGTCACTAGCCAACAGTAACTGGGATTGCCTCAGCACTGACACACATTTGGCTAAGCACTTGCAAAAGCATGGTGGGATTGCTCGGACAAAGATTTTTTTCAGGGCCTGGTGACACTGAGACTACTGTGGCCTCCTGGGTGCTTTCATGCTCTCAACGCGGTCAGTGACGGACACAGTCCTGTGACATGTTAGGCTGTGTGAGTGGCTCAGAGGTGGGCGGGTCTGTCTACACCTCCTTACCACGTGCACGGCCCTGTCATTCTCCAGGATGGGATAAAACACACTGGCGACTCCAGATCAAGCAGGTATTACCAACAAACAACTGCCAATTCAACCTTTTTTAATAAAAGCCGCATTCAAAACACTATTTTTTTGGTAGGCAGCACTGTAAAAGAGCACGTTGAAACAGAAATGGCTTTACATTCTGCATATACTTTTTCTGCCTAAGCCTTCGTAGAGAGGACCAATATTTGTTCCAATAGGATGATCAACAACAACGGAGCACATTAAACAACAACTCAGTCCTAAAAACCCATGGAGTACCAGTCAGTACGGCTGATTCACTGGAAAGCGTTCTGGAGTACAGAGTAGCAACTGGTACCAAGCTGTGTGCACCCCTCAAAGGCAAGGTACTCAGGCTTCTGCCCTTCAGATGTTCAGAAACTTCTCTGTGTTCTCTAATTCCGGTTTTGTTCGATCTGCATCACAAGGCCTAAAGGCCACATTCCTTTTAATTACTTACTCATCCGTTCTGATTCACACACAGAGAATAAAGGAGTCCCTAGACACGAGTTTGTGAAGGGGGAATCCTGAGAACGGACAAGTCACATAAATGCAAACATGTGATCCCTTGTCTGCCAGCCAGCTGCCCTCATCTCCAAAGGGGGAAAAAAGGAAACCACAAAACACAGTAGTGCGGGCGGCAGCTCCAAAGCTTTAATGGGGGAATAATGTGCTGTCGTTCAACAAAAATCCACATGAAGCAGACCAGGCAGACTAAGGCTCACACCTCCTGTCTTTTAGAGCCATTCATGCATCAATTTCTTCCTTTGTTTTTTTTTTTCAAAGCAGGAATGACATCTGACAATTGTTCTTCTTATTATAGAAGAGCTGAAACAGCCCCACTACAGTAAAGAATTCTGTTTCACCATATACTTCTGAGAAAAAAAACTAAATCTTTCAAGTGACCTTTTACTGAGTGGATATGCTCTATTAGGCATAGCTGTGTTGAATCAAATATTAGACAATATTAAATTAAAATGTGTTATATTTCTATATTAAATGGGTAAAATGAGCACTCGTAATGCATTATCATTACACTTCTAAAAAGGTTAGAAAGGTTTTCTAAACTTCTGTAACTAAAGATCACACTTTCAAGGCACAGCTGGCTTTACGACACCTATCAGTGCTGAACGTGCAGTTGCAGACATTTTTAAAGGCACTAACTAAGGCACTCAGGGGGAAAATGAATAAAACAGAATTAGGCATCAGGAAACATGCAATACAAACAGGGAAAGCAAACGAGGAGAGTGTCATTTTATTACTGCTCTGGTATTAATGATTGCTCAATAAACATTTAACATCAATGATTATGTGATTTGGCTATTTCTGTTTTCCAAAGTGCTGCGCATGACTCCACACTAAAGAGCTGCAGGTAGTCTGGTACTGTGCCCGATACCACACTGTGCTGCTGCACTTTTCCGAATAGCTCAGCTCACTGGGGTCTCTGTGTGTGGGAGCGGTGCTGGATGCGGGTCTCTCATTTTCTGTTCCGGCCTAGGTGTAAACCAAAAACCCCCCCTCCTTCCTTCTCTCTGTTTCATTAGTGCCATCCCTTGGCTGCCAGCTTGTCTTTTTTGTTCTTCCTTCCAGCTACAGCTTTGAACAAGAAACTGTAACCAAATCCGCCCACTGCAAACGGCCTTCTGAACGCAGCACAGCTTTTTAAACATTCATGTCGAGAACATCGCAGGTGTCAGGGAGTGTAACCCAAGGACTTCACAATGCAGACAATGGGCCTGTGGCTTACTGGGTTACCTCCCGTGTCAGAGGTGGACAGCTACTACCTGTGTTATCTGGCTCATGAATACACCCTTAACGAGAGCATACCATCGATCTTCAGAAAACTAAAGACAGAAGAAAAAAATCAGACCCATTTCAGCATGTGTAAATAACACTGCAAAGGTCTTACGGCTGTCACTTACAGTTTATAAATCAAAAAAGGAAGCTCATATGTGTATCGCTGAAGATTCTTTGGATTTTACCAAAGATTAATTTCTCCCAGGGGCACGACAGGATGATTATGACTATGGACTATGGAAGACTATGGAAAGTCTTGCCTCTTCAAATTGTACAGCTCGTTGGTACCTAAAAGCTGTGAACCTGATCCACTACCTATGTTCAAATTCTGAGCCATAAGCCACAAAATAAAGTGGGTTTGCATTAAGTGTTTCAAGCTGTTGCATCAAAGACATGCAGCACGATATACCTGTATAGAGCAGACAGGTATATAAGAGTACAGGCATAATAAATAATATATAGAGTTGAAGATATACAGTATCATGCTTAAGACTGGTATATACCTGCAGCACAATATACATATATATAGCAGACTATTATGTAAAAGTAGTATAGTAGTGTAAAAAGAGCATAAGATATATCGTGCTAGACAGGTATATGCTCATATATACCTGCAGCACAACACACCTGCCTTTACCTGGCGTAAGCTGGAGCCACCCAGTAGGGGTTCTCGGACGCCTCCTGGGCATGCCGCAGTATGGCCTCTCGGGCGTTGCTGTCGTCGGTCTTATCGAGCGCAATGTTCTTCACGATGAAGGAGGACAGCGTCCCGCCGTGTGTCCCCACGCGCCCACCCCGACCTGCAGGAACAAGACAGAGCGCCAGCGGGACGCTGAGACACAGGGGTCCAGGATCTGAATCTTAATCTCACAGCTTCTGCTGCCTCGGAACATGAACACCAGTCACATGGGAATTTATCCTGGAGCACCTACTGTATCACTTAAAAGCAATGCAAAAGACCATTTCAACCCTGAAAAAAGCTAACAAAAGGCAGAGTTATTTCTGCTGATTTTATTGGGCATAAAACCGTTGGCTGTACTTACTGGTAACTCGGTACTTAGCTTTCCAAGGGCTGCCAGATTCTGGTAACACTCATTGCTTTGGTGAGATCAAAGACACACATGAGATTTCGGTGCATACCAGCTTTGAGTACTTTAGCCCTAAACAAAAATCCAAAGACACTATATCTATATTACAGGCTCTGGATGGAATAATTTGCTTCAGTTTTAGGGAAAAAAAGCTTACCCTGTACTGCAAAGAATTTATTATCTCCTATTCTAATTTTGTATGTATCAGAACTGATAGCACAGTTATAAGCTCTATTAAATTAAAATGCGCTTCCCAAAAAAATAAAAAGCTGATGAATATTACTGCATTAGATCATCCAAAAGATGTTGGTGGGGGGGGGAAACATTTTAGAATTAATGGAACTAATTAATATATTTGAGCTATAATTACTTTTAAAAAACTTTTCCAAGCTGTGAAAATTAGCAATGAAAAATAAAAAAAAATCTCAAATGGCTAATGTATTACTTTATATACCTTATATAACCACTCATAACCTTTCCTCAAATAAACAGCTAAACACCAGTCCACAGGATACAGCAGAGCACAATTTTCTTAATTAACACATTTATGCCCCTGTTTTACTCTTTGTCTCCTGTTCTTGGCATTCCTGATCTTCAAATTAAACATCTTAAATTTGAGGAGGAGCTGTGACTGAAGACCAGCTCATTCTGAAGGAGATGCATCAATAAAACAGAAATCTGAGATTTTGGATTTTATTCAAAATACCTGTAGTCTACTTTTCACTTGATGGCACAGTGGGTTAGGTTACAAAGTTCTAGTTGTTGAGGTTTAATGTAAAAACTGCATTTTATGTGGTTCTGACTAACATCAAGCTTGTGTCTCACGCTGTGATGGGTCAGGCACTTAGATAGATTTACAGTTTAGAGAGAAGCCAGCTTCAGAGACAATGCTTTCATACTTCAAACTAAAAAGGAGAGATTGATGGACTCTCCAGAGACATGGTACTCCTATAACATCTAAAAAGTGTTATCAGACCACTAATGAAATGCAGATAAAGGGGAATAATGGTAAATGAGCATAATTAAAGTCAAGATTTACAAACCATCATTTGTTTTATACCATTCATTCCATTTAATACCACTTGTCAATAATACTGCACACATTACACATAAGTGACCTTATTTGAAACACACTTTGCAATTTCAAGCTTTAGTTGTATTGAAATGGATCTTCATTTACTATGGAGATCAGTAAGATTCATTCAGATATAGTCTCCCTTTTTTCACCAAAAACTAAGAAGATTCCAAACATCGGGTTTTGTATTGTGAGACCTGTGTTCCTTTCTTTATCAATAAAGATATGTTTCCAACCCATCACAGCAAAATCATATGCTATGTGTATGCTTTGACTAATTTTTTAACACTTGCAAACAACATAATGACAATTGTTCCTGTGCTTTCTTATCAAAGTACACAAGCTCTTTATTTTATGTGTAGTAAATATACTGTATAAAATTCACAAATGCATATGAAACATTAACAAAACCCATGTAAGCAACTAATTTACCTCTGTAAGACAACACAGTCTCTGTTGACCAAGTAGTTATTTTTTACCTTGTTGTATTATTTGTGCATTCTGGTATTTCAGATTCAGTAGATTTTGTCTGTTCATTTTGAAGTCCGTTAAACTGTGTGTATTATGAATAAAAATCAGTGCTACATGTTGAAAGGGTGGCTTATGCATTTTAAGGAGGAACAGGATGACAGTCACAGAGGATAAAGAGAGACTGCAAATACACGAACGAAATGCAGCTAGTGTCGAAAATTCAGAAATGACGCCTGACAAAATATTTATAAGGAACAAGTAATAGGTTTATTCCATGCTGAAAAAAAGAAGAAAGAAAACACAACGTTTCGACCGTGGAGCCTTCTTCAGGTGTGAGAGAGACAAGGCAGTAAGCAAAGGTAATGTAACTGGAGAACAAAGGCTGGGAGAGAGGAGGAGCGAAAGGCGGGAGCAGGGGACAGAAAGAGACAGATGTATAGGTAAAGAACATGCATGTCTTTTCCCACCCAACACAAAAGAAAGACAAAAGACAGTGCCTTCTGCATGCACACACAGCTGGTACGATATAAGGCATTTTTTGTGTCTAGTGACAAATGTACACAAAGATGGAGTCTTCTGAAATGGCCGGGTTCTTTTGGGAATTTAACTTGTGTCCATGAAAAACCTTTTTAAAAAACATATTTTGTTTTTTAACTTTTCACTTTGTGTATGGTAATGGAACCAATATTCTTTGCTTTCTTTTTTTTAAGATTTAAGAAATTAAAACAAGCAGCTGTTCCAGAGGGTGTCTAGGATTGAAAACTGCTGAGTGCAAATGATGATTAAAAGGAAACTAAGACCTACAAGACTGAGCACAGGGCTATCATAATAGAGTGGGCAGAAACTGGGCAGTAGCCACTTGGATTTCAACACAGCGGTGACCTCTGTAAGTGTAACTGATTACTATCAATTAAAAATTACTGTCCATTCCACATCTGGTGAGTGTGAATTAGAGAAACACTGGATGAGACTTTTTAAAGCCAACAAGTATCATACCCATTTCCTGTGTGTTCAGAGGCACCCTGTGAGGAGTGAGAGGACTTACCTGGCCCTGAGACCGGAGGCTCTGGCTTATGGGACTTCACTGGGTCGAGCCGGTCTTTCTCCAGCTGCTTCCGGGTGCTGCGCTGCCGGGCCTCACGGAACATGGGCAGAGCATGAGCTGGAACGCAGAAGCAAACCAAGTTTCAGGGGAGCTTCAGAAAGCTGACTTACTCATCAAATACCAGGTGCTGCAATCTTCTACACAGCCAGCAGCAACTGCAGAAACATAAAGTAAATCAGCCGGCGTAGATGCTGATTTAACATTGACAGTGATCTGACATTGCAATATGTGACAAATGCCTGTGCTGGAATGTTTCTAAAAGGTTTGTGTCTCAGAGGAGGATTTGAATTCATCTGAATGGCTGTGGAAACAACATGGGTTTTGAGATGCCACGGACCCACAGCAGCCCTCTATTCATTTTATACAGTGGGACTATTTCCCACACTCCTGGCCTCCAGGGCACACCAGCCAGTCCAGGATTCCCTGGTCTAACTCTGGAGTTGGGTGAGCAAGACATCTAGAAGACCTGCGCCTGGCCATCGCACCCTAAACATGAGATGCTGGGAAAGCAACAGAGACTTGGTAACAGGCCTGAGAAGAAAGATGTCCAGTCACCCAATTCCAGGTTGAAGCATCCTCCTGGATAACATGACACTGCTGGGAACAAGCAAAAAATCTGCCTCACATATGAGCCTGTAAGGCCAGTTCCTACTGGTTTTTGTTTTCTCAGTCCACTTGCATCACAGGGCTGTCCCCCCCCCCCAATAGCATCAGGTTGTGTTTGAATTTTTTAATCAAAGCACCGATGCTGCTCATTTTCTAACCTGCCGAATAAATAGCAACATCCACCCCCGTTCTTTGTCCTCTGAGGGATCACAGAGAGCGAAAGCTGTAATTTTCCATGCTGGTGTCTTGTTGTTCTGAACCCTAATTGTTCCTACAAGCTGCGCTAGATGGTGTTTGTTAGAAACTGTCAATACACCACCTACATGGTACATTAAGTAAAAAGGTTACTGGCAACAGATTTCCCTTTTTTTGCAATCATTCTGTGTCCTGGCCCTCTCTAATTTTCCACTGCTCTATTCAGGCTAAGTAACTTAGGGACAAGAGCGTATGTAAGGTTTCTTCTTGAATACGTCACATATCCATGAAAGCTGCCATTAAAAAAGCTATACTCCAGTGACATCACGTAATGTTTTAATTATAGCTTACTGTATAATGAAGGATGAAAGCTGTCCTGTCATTTTGCATGTTAAATATCATTAAACTCTTTGATCCTTTAACCTCTTTATCGTTTAACCTGAAACGATAATCACAGACAGGGGGAAACGGAACACTGCCAGGCTTTCTCTGCCTTGTCATTCTGGAGTGGGGTGTTACAGAACTGAGTGCTGACACATGGGCGCATCAGCCCGTGAGTTCACACGTATTGGTTTTAACTTGCAGCTGGCATGACCGATCATTGCCATCCCATGGTAATTCAGAGCCTGAGAGAACTGAGCACTAATGGTCTTTAGCCCAAATGCTTTGAATAAGGGAAAATCCAATTAATACGATACACATTCCACTAATGGCACAAACTGCTTTATAGTCCTTTACAGGACAGCATGGGAACAGCTTAATCCAGCCAAACCCTGATACTTAACAGAAAAAGACATTTTAACCTTAGACCAAGCTTTAACCTTCACATCATACTTTGGCTCTTGGATCTCCTAACACCAACTACTTTTAAAATCTTTTTCTTGAGAATTTCTTGTCTAACCCCAACCCTTTTTAAGTTTGTCATACTTGAGTATTTCCCTCGCACTCTTCCATCTTGAAAGAAAAAGGCAAAGGTGGCTATCCCATGAAGATAACACAGCACAACCAACTACCGATTGTCAATGTGTAAAGCAAGCTCTGAGGAGACATAATGTCAAATGATCAAACAAGCACTAGACATGACACTAAAACCAGCTGTGAAAACATTAAGTGGCACCACCTTCAACAGCATAGGCGAGACTTTATCCATGTGAATTGCAACAGATCCTCAGATTTCACAAACTCGACCTAGATCAAGACACGAACAACAAACGTCTTGAGGATAACCCTCATCAATCCCTACCCAGGGAAACATTCCCATTAACAGCAAACATGAAGTATATATTTTATGCACCTTTGAATACAAGATGACCACAAATCTTTGATAACTGGACATTCAGCCTGGCAGGATTTGCCATTTTACTCAAGTTGAGAGATTCTATCATGGCATCCATCTTAATCTCTTAAAATCCAATGTAGCACCCTGCCCAGCATGGCTCAGTATTTAACTTATGCTCATCCGTGCAACAAACTGCTTGTGTCACTGCTAGAGATCATCTGCATCTTTAAGTTCATACCTGGAAATATTGTATGTCTTCAACATAACTGGAATAATTTTAACATTCATTTTTAACCTGTTACGTCCCAGTGTGTGTTCTGTGTGTGTTTTTTCTGTTATGTCCACACTGCTGACCCTTGATTGTTCTCCCTTCCCCATTGGCCAACCATCACACCAATGTTTCAATATGATGTCATCATCAATCAGCCTTCGAGCCAATCAGAACTCATTTTATTCACTATTTAACATGGAGGCTTTCAGAAAGAAGAGGCCTTTCGTTTGACTTCGGTCCCGGTTGGTTTTGGTTATCGCTTCGCTTCGTTTCGCTTTGCTTATGGTTATTGCTTTGGCTTCGTTTGTTGGTTTGTTTTGCTTTGTATGTGTGTGTATTTTCGTATAGCTTCGGCTTTGTTGTTTTGTTGTTTTTTTTGTTAGTTTCTTTGTACTTTCGTTTGTTTGTGTGTTCATCCTTGTTTTGTCATTACCTTGCCCCAGTGTTACATGTTCAACTTTTGTGTTCTTTTGTACCCTGCTCCTGTTGATTACTCTTGTTTTCCTGGTTCATTTGTGTTTTTGTGTGAACTTTTGTATATAAGGTTAGTTTAGGTTGTTGGGTACACTTTACACACTTAGTAGACTTTGTATTAGTACACTAGTTTAGTACGGGTGAGTGCCGTTTGTCTTGTATGGTTTTGGGTAATCAGTGCAGGTTAGCTAGGGTGTTGAAGCCGAAGACTGTGTGTTTCGGGTTTTCTTTTGTAGTCAGATTAGCTTTCCCTCACTGTCCTAGCCAGCTCCATTTTTGTTTGTTATTTTCTTTTCTTTGGCACCACTCTAGTTCCTTACCCTTATCACGCTTCCTAGTCCCTCACCAAAACCCCCCTGCTTCCAAAAGAATTATCCTAAATGTTACACCCCTTTTCCCCTAGACACTTAGGGTCGTAACATAACCTTTTTAGTTCAATCATTTACAGGGGGTGAAAGGCTGAAATTCTTCACTTGTGATTTTCTTCACCGCTGCACTGCCTAAACAACACAACACATCTTGAGCTTTCTTTTGCCAAAACGATGTGTAGGAAGCAGGATTCCAGAAAGGACAGGAACATGTATCATTCATTTGCCACAATCATTTAAAGAACTCGCCTATCTAGAAAGATAATGATAAACTGAAACATTTCAGGGGAGGAGGAGGAATGAGGGCAATTCATAGAATAAGAAAGGTACCTGTTTTATCAAGTCACACTACCTGTCTAACAGGTTGTTGGGTCGGGATTCAGGAGTGATTCATGAGGCGTTGTCATAGTAAATCTGTTTAAAAATAAATACACCTGAAAATCATAATTACTATCTTTACTGCAGTACTGTAATAACGGTAGGAAATGAGTGTAGTTGTACCATTTTCATCAACAAGGCAAAACATTTTCATGATAGGCATTCATAATCAAAAGTGCAAGGCCGCACACCACTTGTGATTTTGAGGGTTGGCAATTCTCTCTGCAGCTCAACAAAGACAAGTGACATTTAGAGTGGGTCAGGATTTGTTTTTGACAGACATACTACCATGCCACGTTAAAAAGGGTTCGAACTACTCAGTATCGAGCATGAGAAGAGTAAGCAGTCTCATCGGTGCCATGTTCCCAGGAACTACTCTAAACATCTGTCAGTACTGGAACAGACGCTTTGAACCAACTTGACACGTCAACAGAGAAAATCGAACTGGAAGGTCAGGGTGTTTTATTTTGAAGAAAGCTGCAGAAGCTGCATGTTTCACAGACATTTTTGTTCCGGCATTTAATATGGTCTTTTCCTCAGTTGAGTGAGTAGGACGCACTACATTGAGTTTTGTCTGTGGACTGTCTGTCGCGCTGCTGCTGTTCACCTGCTCCTGGGAGCCGAGGTTGTCACATGGCACAGTGAACGGCAACTCGGACTTACGTGTGATGATGTAATCCTGCGTAAGGGTCTCGGCCATCTTCTCCTTTCCTCTGCTCTTCACAACGCACAGTTTCGCTCCTCTGAGGGAAGGCAGAAAAACACGTCACTGCTGCTGCCCCATCTCTCTGCTTCCACCTGGCTAGTATTGCCCCTGACACTGGCCTGTTATTACTGACACACCCTTACTCAATTCTTTTCACAAAAACAGATTTTAGGAGAGTGAAATTTCAAAAATCGTACCACAAAATATACAGCACTGTATATTATCATATATTGTGATCGCAAATTCCAATCATGAAAAAAGCAAGAAAGAAGAAAGTAATTTGTTTCTTTTAAAACATCTATTGGAGATTATGGGCACAGACTATAAACTTGAAATTCTACTTTCTATGGATGCCCCCAGGAAAACTGGGATGTATCTCCATAATTTGGGGAATGACACAGCTGTTTTACAGATGTCCAACCACCGTTCTATCCAGGCAATAGTGGTCCATGAGGGCTGCAATATTCTCAATTTTGTTGATGATCTCCTCATTATTTAGTAGAACACCAGCTGTGTAACTGACCAGACAGTAGTTAAATTATTCCAAACCTTTAGAAATCGATGACTGATTTAGACTATGTATAACACCTGCTGGACACAGTGGCTATTCAGGACCAGTTCAGGACTTCCAGCTCTATGTCCACTCCACATCTAATAATGCTGTGTGACTATTCTCAGCGTGATCTTGAGGCTGGGGTGAAAAGGCAGCCATTCAGAATGGTATACAAAATGACCCTGCTGCTTACAAACATGCGGTTGTATTCTTTTGAGAAAATTACATGCATGAAGAGGAGCTTTGCTGATGTGCAAGGTGGTAATGCTAACAGTGTTTTACTGCATCTTTTATTCATTGCTAGAACCTAATCTTTCTCACATTTGATCTCTCATTTGTATGCAACAAATGGCTCGGAGTGACTGAATTCAGACACTTGCATATTTCCATGACAGAACATATAACTGTAGTTTGTTGCAGCAGGTTTCTAAGGGAGACGGGAAGAGAATTTGCTTAAATTGGAAAATCTAGGTCATCAAAGATAAGGCTCAGAGGCTTTATTAGGTAGAAAAGGGTCACAGAAACAATAGCTAAACATTATTCAGTTTCCTGCAGTTAAACGTTAGTTTTAAAAAGACAAAAAACATCTTGGAAGCAAAGATGATACTGACATGCCTTTTCACACATAAAAGGTTTGGACAGTGTACGCCTAAACACCATGTATAGATGTCACTGCAAATAATATTGTGCTCATGGTGTTTAGTGAGTGACAATGGAAAGATGAAAAGGTTAAAACATCTTTATGTTAGAAAAAAAGATAATAATCTAGAGTTACTTATCATAAACCTTTACTATATTGTGTACAGTATATAGGCAAACTGCAGTAAAACTGCAAACTATAATGAAATTATATTACAATCATGGTGAAGTACTGAAAGGTATATTAAATCACAGTAAATATTCAGTAGTAACCCTTCACAGTCTAGGCTGCATAAAAAAGTTATATATTGTACTTAGATCTGATATAGGAACCACACTAAACAACGAGAATCAAAGCATGCAAACCAACGAACTTCAGTTTTGAGGTTTTTTTCCAGTGATCGAACGCAGTGCAGTGATGTTGTGACAGTCACTCATCCTCTGATAATAATAACATGAGCATGTTTTGTGTACCTCTGGCTCTTGACAGGATCATAGTAGACTTTAGCCAGTCCATTCCCAGTTCCAACCATGATCTGGTTCAGCTTCGGGTGCCAAAGGCATCGTACAACACTCTGTCACGGGGGGAAAACACATGTCAATCAATCGACAATCCCAGGCGTGGCTTCTACTGGCTGCTGTCATTCCCTGCTCACTGGCAACATGGGGTGGATGCACATGGAGCACGAGAACCTGCAGGGTTAAAAAGGTGAGAAAAGGGAGCAGCACAGGTATCAAGTCCCGCCATCATGTTACAGACGCACAACCACTTTCCTGGTTCCAAGAGAAGTGCAGTTCTCGAGACCCTCTTTCATTTTAATCACAGCTGCTGAAAACGAGAAGCATTAAAGGGCGGCAGGTAGCGGATAAATCATGTGTTTCACAAACATCTGATACCTCCATGTTACCACCTAGCCAAGCTGCGCATCATTTTATTTAATAGATGTACTACATTTCTTGCACCAGGTTCTCGACAGATTTCCAGATCTAGATCCTGATCATTTCTAGAGCAGTGCTGCTGCTGAGCCCAGTGTGAGAGAAGGTTATTCCTGGTGCTCCTAAGGCAAGGACTATTGCTACATGCACAGCACAGCTCTCTAGCTGTGTGAGCTCCTAAGTCTTTTGAAATGCAGAGACCTGTTTAACAGGAGCAAGCACTTTAATGGAAGCATAAAAGGCAGATACTCTGGGCCTTTAATCTGCTGCCGAAGGTGTGAATTCTGGAGTCAGCCATGTGGCAGAGCAGAAATTATGCCCCTTTGTGTACAAGTCATTTGCCAACAAAAGACCTGTTTTTTTTCTAATGAGATCTCTCTGCACTAAGCAATTAGAATTACTGAATTGGAATATTGATAATTAGAACTGTGACAATGACAGATTCCAAACAATATGAGTAAGAGCATGGAAAAATATTTGTCTCAAGAATGGCTGACGCAGATACTGCATGCTCCAGAAGAAATTAATTTTCTGATATATGCAGTGTCTAATGGCCAGACAAAACTAAGTGGGTCTGGGATGGGCAGGTAAAAGGGCAATTTCAGTTGTCATGTCTGGCGCCATATTTTTAGATCAAAGGTGGTACCTTAATGGACTCAATCAGGACACTCAGCAAACACTCAGATTAGATTTCATCTGCTTCAGATGTAGCTACTTAGTGATAGTGTTGTCAGTGACTTGTTGCACATAGACAAACCAAACTATGTTAACATTTGGAATTCCCAGGAAGCAGTTATACTCAATACAATTTTTTTTTCTTGAAAATCACTGGGTCCGCAGTGCAAGTTGTAATATATATAATGTTGTAATGCATATAAATTGACAGAGCAGCAAAAAACAAAATCACTGTCCTTTACTGGGCAACTCTACCTCAAGCTCTCAAGAGTACTCAGCTACAGGTCTAGAAGTGTACACCTGGTCTCAGTAGCAGTCAGCTATTCAGACTGCTCTACAGGACTGGGAACGGTTATAAAGCCTTTGTACTGTGGACAAGTATACTGCACAGAACAGTTCATTCCTAAATGATGGGATTATTAGAAGCAAGGCTCTTCTCTTGTAATTTTGTTTTCTGGAGATGCTACCAGACTATAATAAAAGCAGCCCGCTGTTACAAGCAGCAGGAACGTTTCATAAGCTCCTCTGCTCAACCCTACAGTTTACTATATTTGGCATTTGGCAGAAGCCTGGCTCTGTTAATCAATTGATGACAGATGTAGTTGCTGTCATCAGTTTCAAAAGGCACGTGACCACACTGCCTGGGCCAAACAACAGTGCGTGTGCTGTACTTGTGTAGCACGTTTTCTCAGACGCTTATCTTTGTGAAATGTTGGTCTTTGTGAGTTAGGAATGCTTATGGCATCACCTTCTAAAACAAGCTTTGCTGCTGGCATATCTCCATCAGATTTCACGCCAGATTGCTGAATGTTTACGGAATATTACACATTGGATGATGATCTTACAATGGAATATTTATCCCCTTTCTTTGACATCTACCCCTTTAAAAGGGTGTATTCAGAATGAATTATGTCATTATATTTCAATTGCACGCTCCACAACATCTCCTTAGTACCTCTGTCAATCTCAAGATGCAGTCCTCACAGTGCAGCCTGTGCCATAACAACATTAGAATGGGTATGAAAAGGAGAAGGCCACTGTAGCCCTGAGCTACAAAAGATGCCTTTCTTTCAGTATTCTGATGCACTGCAGCGTACGTGCATGGGCAAATTATAACATTTATGTGGAAACAGGTTATGGAGTGACACAGCAAAGGTGGTGCCATATACAGTATTACTAGGCATTCAATCTCGCGTCCTCTGCTCTTGATTTTTAAATACTTCATGCCTGCCTTTAAGTAGGGGATATATATGAATGTATATTCATCTTTCATTCAACACAGGAAGTAACATTCAGAGGGAAAATGGGAGAGAATATTCTACTAAAATGAGGCATTAGAGATTCCCATAAGGAATTTGTATCCTATAAGAATACAAATATGATGTCAAAAAGCATGTCATCTAAATGTATATACCTTATCGTAATCAGCTCATATAATTGGGGAGCCTTCTTTAGGTGTGAGTTGTTCAGAATGGGATAAACCTATTACTATAAACCTATTAATGTGTGGCAAACACATTAATTGTGTTTGCCATCATAACAATGTGTCATTAAAGTGTTGTGTTCATTTTCTCTACTACGTTTTGCCTGTAGGTGAAAAAAATAGCTTGCCCGATCTTGCACTATACATTAACTGATACACAGCAAAAAATAAAACTTAAGTGAGATCAACATTGATGTGTTTTTATACACTGAACTGGGAATTTACATGAACACCATATGCACATTTGAAATCTTAAATGCACGTAAGAAAGGTGTTTGAATGAGTGGAAAAACCAAAGTCCTATTAATACAGAAACTGCCACCCTTCTTTTATTTAAAGATGAACAGTTCTGCCTTGGGGGAAGGGAACCTGAACTAACTGTGTCACTGTGTAAGCTCCTTAGCCTCCAGCTGTTCGGCAGATCAGTGTGGCACTGTAATTTAAGGATGCCTGTGCAGAATGCTGAAGAATGAGTTCAGTGCAAAATCTTTATCATAGTTTAGCAAGAGGGATAAATTCACACTGAAATTAAAAGAAGGCTGGACTGCTTCAGACAACACAAAGTCAAAGAGTATTCAAGTGGTATTTTAGCACCAACAATACCCAGAGGGGATCCTCAAGGACATTTTATATATTATTTTATCTTCTTGAGAGTATTAAAGGATCCTGGCATCCTAGTCCAGTGCTCTGCATGAAGTTTTTACAAATTGATTGATTCCAATATATCTTCACTAACCAAAGCCAACATCTAGGTTACATAAAAAAAAGCTTGCATGGCATACAGCACAATGTGTATAATTGTTTAACTCTCTGACATCTGATGCAAGGAGATTTTGCAGTGTGCTGAAAGCATTTATAAAGTTTTTTAAACTGACAGCTTTAATTTTAAATGGCAGTCTTAGCAATGATCACTCAAAAATGAAATTTCCTTGCACATCACAATGGACTGCTCCTTATCATCGCAAATATTTCTATAACCTGAGCTAGGGGTTCAAGCATGATTTACGAACTAGTAGCCCATACAAAGAAGCACGTAGAAGTATTGATCTGAAACAAAAAGATGGGAAAGATCTAAATAAATTCATTGGTAAGAGAGTTAAACAGATTTTGTGCCGTTACTAAAAGAGTCAAGAAAATGGAGGAAAATCGTGGACTGGATACACAAATTAAAACAGACCAACTCTGGGTTTTAAGAGAAAATATTTAACCAACAAGATGTCATTTTTGGAAGTTGAGAAGGCAAGATTAAGAAATGTGCAAAGAGTGATATACATGAACCCAGCCAAAGGCCTTTATCCAGCAATCTGTAACAACTCCTTTCTGTCCTTTCAACCTGTGCATTGCTGTGAGAAAATGATGATACTTTACCAAAGTTCATGTCTGTTTACACATACAGTATCAAATAGGGCTGTGTTCCTGTACAAGGAGCAAATGCAAAGCAATGGGGAGGATTCTGTATCAGCATTAAAACATGAATGAAAAAAATGTGAATACCATATCTGCCAACAGCGTACTAAAACACATAAACCTAGTCATGTCATTGCCTCTTTGGTCTCAGAACATCTTCTCTTCACCAAGAACATTCTGAATTATATTACAGAGCAGGGGTGTCTTTTTACCAGCTTCATGCCCTTCTTTTAGCACCTGTGGACAGACCTTTTTAGCAATTATTTCTATTTCTTAATATACTGTAACAGAAGTTGAGAGACACATGGCACAGTGACAAGGAATGAGATACTGTACCTAATATGCACAATGCTTACATCAATACATTAGCGTTCCATTTCAGTCAGGAATCTTTACAGGAAGCCTCTACGCACTAGTCTCAAACCCACAATAAAAGCCATTCACAAAATGCTTTCAATGAAATGATGATTCTTTCATTGGAAGAAATAATGAAACATACTGGTGCTCTAGACATTTTTATTATTTTGAGCCAAAGTCTTTGGAATAGAAGATAATCGTCGATTTACAGTATCTCCGTAAAAGCTGCTGCTGTGTAAAAGCTTTGGAGTGCTGTTTTGACTGAAATTGGGCTGGGGGCATCAGAAATGGGTTTAGTAAGGACTTCAGCATAAGGCATGCACTCTTTAAAGCTTCCCACCACACTACGGGGATGTTAAAACAGTCCTGTTTTAAGACGCAGTGTAAAAATCTTAAGAGAACATAGAAGGGAGATCTAAAGTCAAGATGAGTAATTTGAATCTCGAATAAACGACAACAGTTTATGTTTCCAAAAAATCTGTTTACACTCTTATCAAACGATTTTATCATTGTGCATTTTGGCAGGGAAAGCTTCAACAGAGCTTTTTTTTATATTTTTAGGCCAGAAACACACAAATCAGATTAACAGGAATAAATCACAGCTTGAGGAACCTGTGACAGCACTTAGCTTTGTCTATATATGCTGTTTCCCGCAGAATGTTCAGGGCCGACCTGGAACACTGGTAAACAGTCAGAAAATTAAACAATTCCAGCACT